CCTTAGGCTTTTTCTAGCATGAACTTACACTGAAAAAAATGACTCATTGAATTTACAATTTTTTTTAAGGTAAGTGGTTGCAATCAATTTATTTTAGCTACATTTAAATAAACAAATTTAGTTGACTAACTTTCAACTTAAAAAAAAAAATGTAGCTAAAATAAATTGTTTGCAACCACTTACCTTAAAAAATTTATAATTTTTTTCAGTGTAGGGTTTTCTTAACTTAAGGGCATTGTTGCAACAGCAACGGATAACATTAATTTAAGTGAACGATAAGTACACTATTAACACTTTAGTTACTATTCACACTTAACTTACCTACTGATTAATGTGTAATGACATTAAGCTAGTAATGTTAACAATGGAGCAAACTGACATGTCTGTGATTCCCTTTCATGGGAACGTCGAACTGCGTCCTCTAGGGGTCGCTATGGGGAACGCCACGTTGTGACCCGTGTCTGAAGCATACATTGAAAAAACACCAACTGTCTCGTTCCCTACTCAGGGAACCATGGTTACATAAGTAACCTGAGACGTTAGTTACAATAAAAAAAAAAATTCAAAACAAAAAAGCAACAAAATTGTTCTCCTTATATTGACATTTCTGTTGAAAATCTCAATATAATTTATAAAAAATGTAATTATCACTATTCATAATAATAATCAAAAATACAGTAAATTCAATAATATTGTGAAATATTATTACAATTTAAAAAAAGTTTTTCTGGTTCCAGTCTTCAGTGTCACATGATCTTTCAGAAATTATTCTAACATGCTGATTTGCTCAAGAAACATTTCTGGGTTACACTTTACTTGAAGGGGTGTGCATAAGACTGACACGACACCTTCATAATCATGACAAGACACCTACATAATCATGACATGACACATGTCATGAATATGAAGGTTTTTTATGCATGTTTATGACAACTGTCATTAAGTGTCATTCGCTCAGTTATGTACTTTTTAATGCAAAAAATGACATTGTTTGAGATGTCTTTGTTATGGGCTATGGTTAGGGGTAAGGGTAGGGTTAGGTTAGGGTTAGGTCAAATAATGTCATATTTGCATTAAAAATGACATAACTGAGCAAATGACACTTAATGACAGTTGTCATAAACATGCATAAAAAACCTTCATATTCATGACATGTGTCATGTCATGATTATGTAGGTGTCATGTCAGTCTTATGCACACCCCTTCAAGTAAAGTGTTACCAA